CCACAAAAAACTATACTTAAAATAACAGATGAGAATAAATTACAGTAAGTAACAAATAAATTAAATAGCTGTAGTAGAAATCAGGATCAAGGCATAGCTATTTTCCATGACTGGTTATCTACTCAGGAAAGGCCTGTCAGAAGAGATCTGTCTTAACAGTTTTTTTAGAGCAATTTAGGGTGGTCAAGTGATGGATCTCATCCGGCAGGCCATTCCATAATCTGGAAGCGATAGCCAAAATGTCCTCTGGGCAGTTGCAGATAATCTAGTTTTTATAGGTAACAATAAATTCTTCCCAGAGGACCTTACTGCATGGGGTGGATTATACGGAAGTTAAAGATGAGGAATCTCTCAAAGAGAATTAGGCACAGCATTGCAAACATAAATAAATATACAAGAAGTCAAAGCTAGACTTTTAGAGTTAAGCACTTAAAGGTCTGGGCTGGTGGGGGTGGGGAAGAACTGACAGGTTTAGTTCTTCTTACATGTGAACTTTTTTACATCTCAAGTCTCCTCTCAAATATGAAGAAATCTGTACATTCTGTTAAACTCTTTATTTTTTATTTAACATAAAATAAATTCAGTTCCATCCCTAGATTATACTGTGCCTACTCAACACCAGTTCCACACTTTCACACACATAGTAGGAGCTATCTTATAGAAATACAATAGGCATATTCAGCATATCAGCTTGTCATGTTGGCAGAGGCTAACAAGGTAGCCATGGAATTCAATCCTATCTGTGATCTGATAGGCTTCTCTGTAGAGCAACAAAGAGGTCTTCAAAGTAGAAGAACAAAGAGGAATATCTGGAGAGCATCCTGAAAGAACTCCATGTAATGATCTAAGCCACTGAAAGGAGTTTCAGAGGTAGAAATGCCAAAATATACAGTAATATTTTTAAATGGCAATGCCCTGTGGCATTGTACTTATTAGAGGGGAAAGCCCTGTAGCCAGTGCTATGCTCCAATGAAAGGAAGATGATCAAGTACAGAAGGGGTTTAGTAGATAGGGAGTCTTTTGTTAGATTCCATTTTGAAGGTCTTGTTGAACATAACTATGAAATATAATCCTTGATATAGTACATTTTAAGTGTAATTAACATTTAATTCAGAATGGGGGAAGGTGAAGCCTGTGGGCTTCTTATGAGCATAGCACACCACAAATATGTTCAAATTAGTTCTTATTTTTATTTTACTACAAATCTTCCTCATAATCCCCAGGAGCGATGGAGCACATGTTCATCATGTTTTTGTCCTCCCA